CATCGTGCATAACCTGCTTATGTTACCGTAGTACGTACCTGTATGTTACGGACGGTGTGTACCCTGTATGTTAGCGATCGGAACGTACCTGTATGCTCACGAAGGTACTACCTGTAAGTTACCGACCGGAACGCTTACTTGTATGTTAGCGACCGGTAGCCGTACCTGTATGTTACCGACGTCATACACAACCTGTGCGTTCACCAGAACGATACGTACCTGGCATATCTAGCGAAGGGTACTTACACTGTACGTGTCTGGTATTGTGGAAGATGGCGTTGATATCGTCGCGGTAAATCTGAGAAAAGGCGGGGTCGGCGTAGTCATACCGAGCACCGAATATGATGGAGACAATCACGTCAACACCACAGCTGCCTGAGAAGAGCCTGCCGGTGCCGTGTATATGTATTATAAATGTCTGTACACACAGACATCCCCCACACACACACACCCATGCACCCACACCCACGCACGCACACACAACCACGCACACACCCATGCACGCACACACAGACAGACTACAACGCCACACACATACACACACTACACACACATACACACACGTACATGCACACACGCACACATACCGACACACGTGGATCAAGTGATTGCAAAATAATGAGTGTATGGTAGAGACAATAATAAGGGAGCGTCAGTGAAGTAAGAACAAGACAGTGTGGTGTGAGAGAGAGTTAGAGATGGATATATATATATAATATATCAAGAGCTATAAAACCTCTTGCTATTACTTAGCTCTTGATATCAAGAGCTAATAATTATTAGCTCTTGTTGTATTATTAGCTCTTGATACATATATATACATAAATATATACATATATATATATATGTATATATAAGTGGGGATAGATAGTTAGAAAAAGGCTCAAGAGCGAGACATCTTGTGCATAAAATATTTCTGGTTATTCTCTTCTACCTGTGGATCGAGCGGCTCCCCGTTGGTGTCCCTTAGATGTGCGAGACAGGCGGACGCCTCCTCCTGATCTTCTTTCTCTATGCTGACCTTCCCATGCCGAACTCACGCAACTTGGTGAGCGCAAACTTCTATGCTCCCTCCATAGCTTTCCCTCGCTAAATGCACAGTCCCTGCATCAAGCCAGAAAGGATATAGAATCTATGTACATCCGGCAGCTGCATACATTGCAAGGATGATAAATTTGAAAATCAAAATCCCGGAAAAACAATCCACGTTCCTATTTTTACTGCGGTACACAAGAATCTAGAATCACCGCAAAAATACGCAAAATAATTGTTATGCTAATGCAATTATCTTTTAAAGTTATTATTATATTAAATTAATTGTTGATAATATAATAACGAAGGACAAATAATCCCTTTATGTCTCAGTGTGCTCTCATGCGCTCCTTGGATTTCTGTGCACTAATAATATAATATTTTCTACCGCATAAAGTATATTATTATTATATTATTATTATTATTAATATATTACACTTATTATTATTAATAATTTATTAATTCATTTTCACTGGGTGGTTGGAAACACGTTAAGAGCATATCAGATGTAACGTTGAATAATGGAAATTTAAAACCCCTGCGTATTGTAATCTATATCAATATCTATAGCTATATCTATATATTATTTATATATATATATCTATATTATATATATATATATATATATTTGTATATGTATATATATATATATATTTATTTATTTATATATACATGTGTGTGTATGCATTCGTGTGTGCGTGCGTGCGTTTGTGTCGTGTGTGTGTGGTGTGGTGTGTCGAGTGTGTGTGTGTGCGTGTGTTTGTGTGTCGTGTGTGTGTGTGTGTGTGTGTGTGGTGTGTGTGTGTGTGTGTGTGTGTGTGTGTGTGTGTGTGTATGTGTGTGTGTGCGTCTGTGTGTGTGTGTGCGTGTGGTGTGTGTGTTTGTGTGTGTGTGTGTGTGTGTGTGT